TATAGGTGAGCTACTACTTTCCCTTAAAAACATTATGGAGGTCGTTTTTCTGTGCCCTGATTGCGGCTTTTATTTTACGGTCAATAAATCCGTTTGGTAATGAGCACTCGGTACTTTTTTATGTCGAATATAATAAGCCTTGGATATTTTTCGAGCTAATACCCTTTGTCATGCTTGGAATAATTGGTGTAAGTTTGTTTCTCTTGAAACCTTTATCTGTAATTAATAGATTGTTAAACTATCGTTTTTTCTTTTTCTTTATTTCAACAGGGTGTGATAGCTACTTTGTTTATAAAAGCAAATCTATTTTGGTGTCGATACCGTAAAACTTCAAAATTGGGCCAATATCCAGTTACTGAAGTTTTAATAGTGACAGTTGTAACTGCTGTTATTGGGTATCCAAATCCATATACACGAATGAGTACAAGTCAACTCATTTATTTACTATTTAGTCAGTGTGGGGTATCAAACGCAGACATTTTATGGTTTGTAAAAATCTTTTTTTTTTTTCTTCAGATTAATATTAATTTTAAGATGTATTATAAATTTCTTATTTCTTTCTCTTTGTTCATACAGCGATTATAATAGAAACTTTACTGCTGTAAAATCAGCAATTGAGATTGCAGCAGCTGGTCCTGGAGTCTATAAAGCGATATGGCTTCTCGTTTTAGCATTAATTCTAAAACTTGTTATGACAATTGTTACGTTCGGCATGAAAGTACCTTGCGGATTATTCATTCCATCACTTTGTTTGGGAGCGATAATGGGTCGTATTGTTGGGATTGGAATGGAACAACTTGCGTACAATTATCCACACATTTGGATGTTTAGTGAAGAATGTTCAACCGGTGTTGATTGTATAACTCCTGGATTATACGCAATGATTGGTGCTGCGGCTGTTCTCGGCGGTGTTACCAGAATGACAGTTTCTCTTGTCGTAATAATGTTCGAACTAACGGGAGGAGTACGGTATATTGTACCACTAATGGCAGCCGCCATGGCAAGTAAATGGGTCGGTGATGCTCTCGGAAAGCAAGGCATTTATGATGCCCACATTGGTTTGAATGGGTATCCATTTCTTGACAGCAAAGATGAATTTCAGCATACTACTCTTGCGGCTGACGTTATGCAACCCAAGTAATTGTATTATTATTATATAATTAAAGCATTATATTTCTAAATTTGTAAAATGTCTTCGACTTTATGTGTTTTATAGTTTGCTTTTTCAATTATTAAATTGAATTTTTCAGACGCAATGAAGCTCTTCATGTGCTTACTCAAGATTCAATGACAGTTGAAGATGTCGAAAATTTGCTAAAGGAAACAGAGCATAATGGTTTTCCTGTAATAGTCTCGAAGGAATCACAGTATCTTGTAGGTTTCGTTTTACGAAGAGATCTGAACCTTGCAATCGCAAATGTTAAACGTATGACAGAAGAAATTACCGGACAGTCACTAGTTACATTTACAAACGGAAATAACATTCAAAATCATTCTCCTCCACCTCTTAAATTAAAGAAAATTCTTGACATGGCCCCAATAACAATTACGGATCAAACTCCTATGGAAACTGTCGTTGATATGTTCAGAAAGTTAGGACTAAGGCAGACACTTGTTACGCATAATGGGTACTTATTTTTTATACCTCTGTATATTATCTATTTTGTGAATACATTGTATTTTTATACATTTATTTATTTTTGCAGTCGACTGTTGGGAGTTATTACAAAAAAAGACGTATTAAGACATGTGAAGCAACTGGACAACGAAGATCCTAATTCCGTTTTGTTTAATTAAAATGTATATAAAAAATATACGTGAGAGATACAATGTTTTATAATACATAGTATCAACCAAACAACTAGATATACTATGTTAACAACATTATTTTCTATATTTTCATATAAATATGAACAAGACCTTTGTTTTAATTATGAATTATTAAAAATGAACAAGCAAATAGATAAAGTACCTTTAGCTCAATGCACTACATAAATTTTTATATATTTTACTGGGATGAATTTCGATCTTGTATTTACTATCTGTTAAAAAAAAGTATTGTTTTGCATATAAGAAATAATGTCAATAGTGATTAGTGTTTCTGACAATGTTCTACACTTTAAACTTTCACATTAATTTATAATCTGTTTACAAAGTACTAAATCTTAGTTGAATATTACACGATGTACTATGTAATTTATCAAGCAAATTACATTCAAAAACTTCAGATTACAATGCATTTTTAAAGTTTAATTATTTGAATTATTATAGTTAAAATGATAACTGGTCAGCAGTGAACTAAATTTCAATACAAACATGAGTGAATGTATTACGTAGGCAAAAGAGAGAGCACATCTTCACGTTAGATACAAAACGAGAAATTTAATCGTCATAAAATTTTAAAAATTTATAAAGATAGTTAATATTTAAATATTAGGAAGAACATTAACTTTATTTTTTGTATTAATGTTTTAAACATACCACATTTAAATATGCGATACACATACGTATATACGTACACGTTGTGTTCAATATTACCTTTTATGATTTCCTTATATGTTTTTAATTAAAAAATTATGAAAATTAATTCAATTTACATGAAAGATATTTGTTTCTTTAAAATTTTTAATTCATAGA